TATCTGTTGATGGGCATTTAGACTATTTTCATCATCTTTTGGCTATTGTGGATAGTATTGCAATAAACATTGATGCGTACATCTCTTTTTGAGTCTCTGCTTTTGTTTTTTGTAATATACCTAAGAGCAGAATTTCTAGGAGTGGTATTTCTATTTTCAGTTTTTTGAGGAACTGCCAGTTTCCCACAATGATGGTACCATTTTGCATTCCCACCAGCAATGGATAAGGGTTACAATTTCCCCTCATCCTCATCAACATTTATTTCCCTTTCGATTTCAGCCATATTAGTGGGAGTGTAATGGTGTCTCATAGTGGTTTTGATTTTTAGCTCTCTGATGGCTAATGATGCTGAGCATCTTTTCATGTGTTGGGTGGCCACCTGAATACCCTTGTTGGTGAACTGTCTATTCAAGTTCTTTGCCTATTTTATGATTGAATTATTTGTCTTTATGTTATTGTCAAAGTTTTATAAACATTTTGATCATTAGAATCTTGTTAGATATATGGTTTCTAAAGATAATCTTCTCTGATACAATTTAATGAACTTGACCTACACCTATGGATGCAGTAGCTCAAAAGAGGGAACAAATCCTTACAGCAAGGATCATTCCCACCCCCTCCATATACAGAGTAGACAGGGATGGGCAACTTGGACATTGGCTACCCAAAATGGGGGGCGGGGTGCTACAAAGGCAAGAAGTGACTGGCTTACAAGCTTTCAAGAGGGAAGCTAGATTCATAGGGCATGGAGGAAGGTAGAATCTCCACTGAGTAGTATAAAATCTGTCTAGGCGGGGCTGATGAAATGAAATCTGGATGGATCTCGTAATACAATAGTGAACAATTGTTATCTGGACTGCTTGTGAGGGTTGGAATTGTAAAGGTAGACTTTTTTAGCAAGGAAGGGAGTGATTAACTTTTCAGCCTAAGAGCGGAGGTCCCTGAGGCCATCAAGGGAGATGAGCGGAGAGCTGGACCCTACCCAGAGAAGCAGTGATGTCTGAGATGGAGGCAGAGACGATGACGTGGAGAGATGGAGCTGTTGGGAACTTTAGACCCAGAGAGGGAGAGGGGCTGTGTACTGATGACTGGGGGGCATGCTTATAGTGTATACCCTTTGGTTGGTTGACGATACATGGAGGGAACTGTAACCATAGCAATGAAATTATATACTATAGGATGAATGTAAAACTAATGTTCTCTCCATGTAAACTATCACATAACTCACAATAAAACATTTCAAATAAAGATAATCTTCAAATTAGTAGTTCATCTTTTCACTTTTTTTGGTAGTCTTGATTAATAAATGCTTTCATTTTTATGAGGTCCCATTTAGCTTTTTGCTGTTTGTGCTTTTGTTATTATATAATGTATTGTTGACATCTAGGCCTAAATGTGTTGATCCTGCTTGTTCTTCTAAGAAATTCATGATTTAAGTTTGCACATTTAGGCCCTTACTTCATTTTGAATGTTTTTGTGTGAGTAATGGATTGTTTCATTTTTCTGTATGTGGAAATAGAATCTTCCCAGAACCATTTACTGAAGACTCTTCTTTCCCCAGCAAATGGACTTAGCACCCTTATCAAAAATCAGTAGACCAGAGCTGTGTGGGTTTATTTCTGGTTTGTCAATTCTACTCCATTGTCTGTTGTTATAGCAGTACCCAACAGAATTGAAACTACCAGCCTTTCCATGGGAGAAAGATGAGCCTTTTTACTCCTATAAAGATTTACAGCCTTAGAAACCCAATACAGGGTTGCTACGAGTCAGAACTGACTCCACAGCACACCACCACCACCACCACAATCCTTACAGGAACATGCTGGTGGTGCTGTAGGATAAGCGATGGACTGTTAACCACAAGTTGACAGTTCAAACCTGCCAGCCGCTCTGGGAGAAAGATGAGGCTATGTGCTCCCACAAAGATTTACAGCCTCATATGCCATGAGTTGGAAGCAAATCAGTGGCACTTAATAATCTTTACAAGAGCAGATCACCAGGCTTTTCTTCCCAAGGAGCCGCTGGGTGGATTTGAACCTTTGATCTTTCCATTAGCAGCACAGCATTTAACCACTGTGATACCAAACCAAAAACCTACAGCCTTTGAGTGGACACCAACTCATAGTGACCAGGACTGTAACGTTTTTTGGGAGGAGTCAGCTTCACCTTTCTCCTATGGAGCCACTGGTGGGTTTGAACTTTCAACCTTGCCCAACCCACAGCACCACCAGGGTGCTTTAAAGGTGCCTGTTGTTGTTGTTGGTAAGTGCCGTTGAGTCGATTCTGACCCATAGCGACCCTGTATAGGGTTTCCAAGGAGCAGCTGGTGAACTTGAACCATTCGGTGGTTTAGGAGCAAGAACTTAAAAGAGCCAATGAGAGCAACACTGAAAGAGGAAGGGGTGAGGCCTGAGAGGAAGGACACTGAAAGTCACTCCTGGAAACAGATGGTGGTGGTGATTTTGGTTCCAACTCATAGAGACCCTGCATAGGTATATCTTTATGAGAGCAGAAAGTTTCATCTTTCTCCCATGGAGCAGCTGGTAGATTCGAACTGCTAACCTTGGTGGTTAGCAGCCAAATCAGAGGATACAGAAACTACAGCAGCCTGAGGGGGCAGGGCCTCACTTTTAGGAATGGGTAAGACCTAGAGGAGCTAGTGAACAGTGCTTAATAGGGTCAAGGTAAAAGCCTGTAGGATATACCCTGGACTGGTAATCTCAAGGTCAGCAGTTCAAACCCACCAGCCGCTCTTGGAAACCCTGTAAAGGGTTGCTATGACTCAAGGACACACAACTCAAGACCTGATAGTACAGGGGGATGAGGCCTGGAGAAAAGGGCAGACCCTTGGAGGAATCTGAGGGGGTAGGACTGAAGGAGGTAGCCTTGGAGACCCTAGGTCTGACCGGTGCTTAGGTCCCACAGAGGCGTGTGTGCCATTGTGCTGGCATACCTGAGGAGCCTTGGGTTCAGTGCTGCGGCCCTGCCAGGGTACTGAAAAACCTGAAAGTGCTGGACTGCAAAGTCGGTTTGAACCGCAAAGTCAGGGGTTCAAGCTCACCAGCTGCTACGTGGAAACCCTATACAGCGTCTCTATGGGTCGGAACTGACTCGAAGGCACTTTAACATGGTGCTTGCTCAGCCGTCACCTGGATCAGCAGGCAGGGGCCCTCAGCCTCGAGTGGTCACGTCCTGCCTGGCACTGAGTCACTCAAGTGAGGCCATGTCACAGCTCTGTCCCCACTGAAGGCTGCTGGCTCCCCATTGGGGTTTTGCGAGACGCAGAGACCCTGCATTTGTGACCTCAGGTGGTGGTTTTGTACAGGAGAGATGACCTTTCCACTTCTTTACAAAGGTTTGCAGGACAGGGACTTTTTGTGTTCATGAGGTCATCTGCATGGAATGCAATTGCTCTGAGTTTTTGTGGAGAAAACCATTAACTCCTCTCCAGAGGCTTTTGTGCTTCACTTTAGTATTTGCAAGAGGGCATTTATACTCTGTGCATGAAGAAGCCAGGTAAGGTGTAGTGAATTATTTAGTATGTCTCTTCTAGCCTTAGTGTTTGTAACTCCCACCACCTGACAGGTCTGGATGTGAGATGATACTGATAGGATGACAGGATTCAGCTGTGGATGTTAACCACCTTCATTGTAAAAACGTGAAACTCTAGCCCAAATATAAAATAAACCATTTCAGAAGCGGTCGAGGAAGAAAAGAGATCTTCCTACCATCACAGAATAGCCAGGAGTGGAGTGCGTGCTTCGGACTCTGAGATCCTTGCACATTGAACCTCCTCAACTCAGGAACACACGCTGTGATACTGACGAAGTGGAAGAGGAGCAACAGCAGCAGAACCAAGAACCACAGAGCAAGCAGAACCAAGTGACTCTGGGCAGGAGGCTTGCCTGCATGGTGGGGTGTCTCTAGACACTTAATTGGGGGAAACTCGGCTTTCTGACCCATGGAGCTAGAGCTGAGTGCCTTCAGGCTGAGGTTTATGGTAGAGTGTTGTGTCTTGGGGGGGGGGCATTTGTCATCAGCCCTAAAATAACTTTGTTAACATTACCTGGAAAGACAGAGGCCTGCCTGTGCACAGCTGAGAGACTGTCCTGACTGCAAGAACTGCACCTTGTGCATTTTCTGCTCCTGTTAACTTCCCTAGTAAACCCCGTAAGTGTGAGTATTAGCTCTGAGTTCTGTGTGGTCATTACAATCATCAAATCCAGTTGAGTAGAGTGCTTTGGGAAGAATCGTCGAGTTATAGATTCGTTTTTGTTTTTTTACCACTTTCCACTTCTATGGAGCCCTTTGTTAAGAAAGGAAGGCAACTGCACCTCAGTGGATTCATCTATAAGACAATGCTTACCCCACCTCTATATGGGTTTACATAGACGTGATGGTGTTTGAGGGTGTTATCCCCAAAACCCCTTTCCCACAAACTTCCCACCCAAAATGAAAACTCCTATCTGGTTCTTTGTGGTTCCCTTAAAAAAAAAAAAAAAAAAAATCCTGACAGTGAACACTGAGCATCAGAGAGCAGAAGTCTTGTGGTACAGAAGGGGAGACCGACACAGACTTTGAGGAAGCCAGGTTCCCCTGAAAGTTACTTCCATTCCAGGTCCATGAGGAGGCCACCTGGAGGGCTTTACCTTCCCAGGTACAGTGACTGGTATTCAGAAAGGAAGGGCTCCTTGTGAGGTTGGACTGCTCATCCTTGGGGATGGGAATATATGAGGAACCAGGAAGGCAACATGCAGAACCACAGCAGCAGCAGCACCCCACAGTGCTTGTCCACTCACTTCTTTCTTCTGTGTCGGATTCACCACTTGGCCCCTTGCACAGCCTTGTACATGTGTCTCATGTTGATTCATGTCCCCTCCCGTTCATTCATCCCACAGACATTTTCTAGAGCCCACTCTCTGTGCGACTCCAAGTCCTACAGCTCAGCCCCTTGTCTGATGAGGGGATCCCAAGTGTGGTTCAAGGAGTGCATAAATAAGCATTTTAAAACTGGCTTTAAATACTTTTCAGGGTACCACACAAAGGGGCTGGGGTGAGAGTTTGTTACATGTGAGTGTGGGGCTGAGGTGCTCTGAAAGAGTAAAATGGAACCCATCCATCAGGACAGCTGGGATGTCCCACCCCCACACTGGGACAAGGAGGCAAAGTAGAGGCCCTCTCAGGAGGGTCCTAGGGCCAACTGGGAGCCAGCCCTCCCTTCGAGGTAGATAATCAGGGAGGGAAACGAGGAGGGACTCCCACGGTGGCGGCATTAGGCGGTCACTTCCTCAGTGGTATTGCTGGTAGCTGGGATAGCCTGGGGCCGGGGCACCCTCTTTGGAGGGCATCTGGCTGGGATCCTCCAGGAATAGGGGTGCTAGGAAGGGGAGAATCAGGTAAGGGCAAACAGAGGAGGCTGGGAAGAACATTTACCACTACTACCTGGTCAGCATCAGCCAAGTACTCACCATTGCGGAACTGCTGGGCAGTGTAGCGAGTAAGGAGGATGCCGACACCCTCAATGAGGGCCAACAGGATGCCCCCCATCATCGCTGAACCCACCATGGCCAGTGGGCCACCTGCAGGAATGAGGACAGCAGAGGGAGCATGGTGAGGGCAAGCAAAATCGGGTGGGAGGGGCTGGGCCAGGGCTCTGGGGTACTCACTGCGAGCTGCCAGAACAGCACCAGTCAACGCTCCACTGGTGATGGAGTTCCAGGGATCCTCCTTGCCCCGTAGCCGCACCAAGCCACAGTCGATCGTGGAGAACAGGCCTCCCCACACTGCAAAGCTACCTGCAGGGGAACGGAGGCCTAGTGTTCACAGGAACTCCCGAGACTCCATATCCCAGGGTCTGGGGACTTCTGAAGCCTGAATGTTCTGACCATGAATGGGGAGAAAAGTCCAGACACAGACGCAGATAGCAAACTCCCAGGTCACAGTCCCTGCCTATCCTTTTGCCGAGGTATTTTCCCACTTCAATTCATCTACAGTGGCCATCAATAGCCCCTTCAATGTTACATTGTTACATGCTGTTGAATCAGTTCCAACCCATAGCTACACTGTATAGGGTTTCCGAGGAGTGGCTGGAACCTTGCCGTTCAAACTGACTTTGTAGTCTAGTCCAGCACATTAATGCACAGCACCACACCAGGACTCCTCAATGTTATAGTGAGTTTAAAAATGTTCACAAGCAGATTCATATTTTACTCTATAGGGTTTTTAACAAAGCAGCTTTAATCTTTGTAACTACCTCATAGAGTTGGAATTTTGATATTGGTTTCAGGGAGAAGGTCTAACTAACTAAATTAACCCCCTGCCCTGGAGTTGATTCTAACTCATAGCGATCCTATACAGAAGCAGACTGCCACATTGTTCTCCTGCAGAGCCACTGGTGGGTTCGAACCGCTGATCTTTCAGTTAAGAACTGAGCACTTAACCACTGAACCACCAGGGAGGACAAGTTAAGAAAGCCCAATAAAAAAAAAATTAGTTAAAATGTTGATTGCGGGCTTACTGTGTGCCAAGCCCTCAGTACTATGTATCATTTGACTGCTAAAATTTTAAATTAGTTAATATTAAAGTGCTTAGCACAGCAACCTTAGTAACTTTGCATATACTCTATAAATGTTTGCTAAATAAATTACAAAGCTACTGAGGTGGTTACTGTCATCATGCACTGTTAAAGAAGTTCAGACACGTTTAAGCCTAAGGTCACACGGCAGGAAAAAGCCAGAGCCTGGATAGAAACTCCAAAACCCACACTCTTCTCCCTCTCTAAATTGTTAGGAAATGCCACAACCCCCACCCAGGAAATCCCAGGCAGAGTTGGGAGATGGAATCTAGTTCCCCAACTTCAAGTCTACATCTAAAGGGGCATCCCTCCCCGACGACTTATATCTTTTGTGTCTCCCCAAGCCTCTCACCTCCAATCTGGGGGGCTCGAATCCTCACAGCACTGACACTACCTCTTAACCGGTGGCGAATCCCCTGGGGGAAAGTGAGGAGAAAGTCAGGGCAGGTGTGAGGCCACTCGCAGACAGGATTTCTGGCTTTTAAGGAGGAATGGGGACAGGAGACCTGTTTGGGGTGTCAAGGCAGAGATATGGAAAGCAGCCAAGAACTAGGGGACTGGGGAACAACCTAACATGGATGCTTTCAAAACAGGGTTGAGAAATTAAATTCATTCATTCAATCAATAATTAAGTAGCTACTATGTGCCAGGCACTGCTATATACAAAAATACAGCAGTGTCCAAGGTAGACCTGGTCCCAGCCCTCTCAGAGCTCACATTCTAGTGAGAGAGTCAGATCCTTGAGTAAGGAACCAAAGCAATAAACGAGACCGTTCCAGGCAGCAATAACCACTGTAGAGGAAACAGGATGAGGACATGGGTGACTGAGTAGTCAGAAAGACGTCTTTATGGAGGATCAGGAGAGACTTGGGCAAAGATTCAAGAAAGAAAGTTTCAGGTTAATGTAACAGCAAGTTCAAAGGCTAGGAGGTAGGCATGAGATGGGGTAGTAGAGGAAGAAAGAAGGCTAGAGAGGGTGGAACAGAGTGGGCAAGGAGAAAAGTGGTAGAAGATAGACTATGAGAGATAGACAATTAGATTGTATAAAGTATAGTAAAGAATTTGGCTTTTATTTTAAAGTAACAGGAAGAAAAGGCATAACTAAAAAGGGGGAGCTGATAATTTGTTATTTCAGGAACAGAGAATCTTAGGATCATCAAGAGGAGCGAGGGATCCTAACCAGAATTACAGTGACAACAGAGATGGTGGCAGAGGCGATGGCATAGAGAGACAGAGCAGCAGAGGACTATAGGCCCATGGACTGAGAAAGGCTGTGTGCCTGCGGACAGGAGGATGGCTTTCAAAAGGTGCCCTCTGGACATTAAATGAATAAAAAAGGTAGAGGCAAATACTGTTGGCTGAGGGTACATGGAGGGGATTATAATCACTGTCATGATTTGCTGAATATTAAACTGATGAGCTGCCCTGTAAGCCTTCACTCACTCAATTCACAATGAAAGCTTAAATAAATAAATAAAAATAACAGGAAGCTATATATATATATATTAAAGGAGGGGCTAGGATCTAATTTGTTTCCCTGCTTTTTAAGAAACCCTTTGGGTTGGTGGTTTAAGAGTATACTACAAGGGGTAAAGGCAGAAGCAGAGAGACAGTGTGAACACTACAGAAATCATGGGGACTCAGACCAGAACGGTGCCAATGAAGGTGGTAAGAAGTTATTGATTTAGGGGATATGTTTTAGAGATTGAATACACAGGTTTTACTCATTGATTAGATGCAGGATGGGGTGTGAAGGAAAAAGAAGAAACAAAAATGAATGACTCCAAGGTTTTGGGCTTAAACAACTAGAAAGAGGTAAATTAGAATTTCCTGAGATGAGGTTGACCCATGAGATTAGGTCTGGGAAGGAATCAGAAACTTGAGTTTTGACTTGTTGAGTTTAAGATTGGTCAACCAAGTGGAGATGTCAAGTAGACAATTGGATATGTGGGGCTAGAATTGAGGGGAGGCAGGGCTAGATATTTAAATTGTAGCTGTTGTTGTTGTTAAGTGTCATTGAGTCAGTTCTGACTCATAGAGACCCTGTATAGGGTTTCCGAGGAGCAGCTGGGTGGGTTCAAACCACCGACCTTGTGGTTAGCAGTCCAGTGCTGATCCTACAGTGCCAGTAAAGACCTTGGCAAATGGATGGCATTTAAAGGTATCTTTGATGAAATCTCCTGGAGAGGTGGGGGTGTTGAAGAAAAAGAAGACAACTGTGTTAATTTCAAGGATTTTCTCAATTTAGAGACTGTCCTTTCCCTCTGTCAATTAAATGTGCGGCACCTCCTTCTATACAGGTTTCTGACATCGAATCTCTACCTACAAGCATAATGTGCCTGGCTTTGTACACATCTAGGATTGGTCATGACTGGTTTAACAGGACAGCATTTCCAGAGAGGTGGCCCAGTTAGGGGTAACGGGAACAGGGGTCATGTTTGCAGTTCTCCAAGACCCCAGATCTGGAAGCCAGACTTGGCACGTAGTAGGTGAGTAGGCATCAGAAAGAATATGTTCATGTGACTACATGCAGTTTTCATGACAGGATCCCGTGAGAGGGTTGGTCAACCCCCACACCACCCAGGAATGGCCAGGGCTTACAACAGGAGCATTGCGGAAGCCTTTGATGGCTTGGAAGACTCCTCCGCCAATGACACCCATAGTGAAGGCTCCCCCGCAATCATCCACAATGCGCCATGGGCTGCAAGAGCGAAGGCGAGGAATATGTTAACGTGAGCCCTCCTCCAGGCCCAAACAGACTCTTTCCAAATGTTTTTCTTCACCCTGCCTGCCTCCCCTTCGCAGCCAACTATGGAACCAGCCAACTGCTTTACTACTACAAAAGATTAAGTTAATTGATACATGCAGAGTTGGCATCTTTAAATAAGCGCCATAGAAATAGTTGTTGTTGTTATGTGCCCTGGAGTCGGTTCCGACTCATAGCGACCCTGTACAGGGTTTCCGAGGCTGTAAATCTTTACGGCAGCAGAAAGCCTCATCTTTCTCCCGTGGAACAGCTGGTAGTTTCGAACTGCTGACCTTGAGGTTTGCAGCCCGATTCGTAACCACTACACTACCAGAGCTCCTTATACCATAGAAATGGTAGCTAGCTAAAAAACAAAGCAAAAACTTCACTGCCATCAAGTCATCCCAAACCATAATTGCTATTAAAACAGGACAGGGTCACACTCCCTTCTCTAGCGATGGGCCCGTCCCTGTTAAGCCCGCCTTCTTCCCCCTTTTAATACAACACAAAGAGGAAAAACCAAGTGCAAATGGTGGGGAGGATTCAGCACCCCCTCCTTGCCCACAATAGGCTCACCCAGGCCCCGCCCTCTATTACCTAAAGCTAACTGGGGGAAACCACGCATGGTAACACTGAATTACTGCTCCGTCTCTTTGTCAACAGAGAGGCCAGTGAATACCAAGTTAGGGACAACGTGACGTGTTCGTCCTGTACCGAACCTTCTCCAGGGGCACAGTTGCTACCCCTCTTAACGGGTGAGAGGAACCAAGCTGGGGAGCGGAAGGAGATAAGTTTCTGAAAGTCTCCAGAGTCTGGGACGTGGCGCTGTGTGGCCGGTGAATCCCCCGCCCGCCTCCCACGGCTGGCCAGGGCGCCGCAGCAACAGTCCCGAGGCCTGTGCCCACCGCCGTACCAAGGCTCCCGAGCGTATTCCTCCATGGCGCCTGGGTCCGGCTGCTCAATCAGGCCCGTTCAGGCTGGGCCCCGCCCCTAGTGTATACGCACACAGGCGCCCAAGCTTTCCACCAATTCCAAGACCAGTGTTGGATCGCTTCGCCTCACGTACGCCAAAGGGGCACTCTCATTGGCCATCTAGGTTGCGTCATCTGTCCTCCGCAGCCTCCGACCTAATCCCAGTTACTTAAAGGTTCGGGGAGAAAGGACCTCCTTCTGTGCTTTGGAGGAGAGAGTCGTGTGGTTCCGGTGGTCATAGCGGCTACGAGAGAGCCGACCTGTCCGTCAGCCTTCCACTGCCCGCGAGACTGTATTGGTAACGCCAGGGTGGGCACATTCTTTTGGAGCTGGAGGAGGTGCTTGCCTTCTGCCCCCCCCCCCCATTTCAACGCTTTGGTTCCTCCCACTCGGCAGTCATTGGGGGACGTTGGGTGAGCCCATTTCTGGGGAGCGGGGGAGACGCTCTTGACCCCTTCAGCGGACAGAGCCTGCGAGTGGAACGAGGGACGCGAGCGCTAGACGAGGGTGGGTGAGAGTTTGGGTGATATTGCTTCTTGTCTCAGCCACCTTTTAGCGCGTACTTTCTGCCCGCTCAGCTACTGGCCCAGGGAGAGATGGGGGTCAGATGAATATATGCTGGGGGATGGGGTGGGGTAGGGTTACAGAATCTGGATTCTAATCCTCATCTAATCTAATTTTTAGTGTGTCTGCTACCCGCTATGCCACTGCCCGTGGCGCTGCAGACCCGCTTGGCCAAGAGAGGCATCCTCAAACATCTTGAGCCCGGTGAGCGCTAAGAGCAGATGGGCCCACCATGTGCCAGGCATGACAGGAAGTTTGTTGTTGGACTGACACTTGATAACCTTGCATGAGCCTACTGTGTGTGAGCCAAGCAGTGGGATGGAAGGCATTTCATTGTTAATACAGATTCCTGACATCCATGTACCAAGCACTGTAGGCGGACAGACGTATTCTTGACAATAGTGACAGCTGATGGCTGTTTTGGTTAATTGTATCCCAGGTTCCATGGAGTGGTAACAAAGTCGCTAATAGGATGAGTTGACATCTACTGCAGTTTCCTGTTTACCGGAGTACAATATTGTTGATACGTTGTTATTTACAATACTGATACATAGTATGCATTTCTACTGTTGCCACTATGCTGGTGATACACTGGGACTTCAGAAAGTTCATGGAAAAATTCCAGTATCTTTTAGGATGGCTGACTTCAACTGCAATTTCCTGTGTGCCGAGTACAATGTTGCTGTTGATACTTTGTTATTTGCAATACTGATAGATAACATGCATTTCTACTGTTGCCACTATGCTGGTGATACACAGGGGCTTCAGAAAGTTCATGGAAAAATTCCAGTATCTTTTAGGATGTACAATTTTGCTGTTGATACTTTGTTATTTACAATACTGATAACATGTATTTGTACTGTTGCCACTATGCTGGTGCTACAAAGGGGCTTCAAAAGGTTCATGAGGGAAATTACAGTATCTTTTCATTCCATTTTCCTACAAACTTTTTGTAGCCCCCTCATAGATACCTTATTCACCATTATCAGTAACCGACCTGTGGCACTGTGTGTGAATGCACCAGACTGCAAAGCCATTTGAACTGCAAGGTCAGCAGTTCAAGTTTACCAGCTGCTCCTCAGAAACCCTATAAAGGTTCACTATGGGTCGGAACCAACTCAACAGCACTTAACAACAAGTGCCTGGCCAGCCATCCCATGAGAGAAAGATGAGGTTGCCAGTTTCTGTAAAAATTTAGTCTCAAAAACCCTAAGGAGCATTCTACTCTGCTCCATCTGCTTGCTATAAATTGAAATCAACTCAATGGCAGTGGGCTGGGTTTGGGGGGGATTCACTGGCACTATGCTCTTGTTAAGAGTTCTGGTATCATAGTTGTTACGAATCGGGCTGCTTACTTCAAGGTCAGCATTTGGAAACTACCAGCTGTTCCATGGGAGAAAGATGAGGCTTTCTGCTCCCGTAAAGATTTACAGCCTCGGAAACCCTGTACAGGGTCACTATGAGTCGGAACCGACTTGACTCCACGGCACATCACCACCACCACGCTCTTGTTGACGTACACATTACATTCTATCCTTAGTTAAAATGTATTAGAGGCCTATTGAAGGCCAGGCACTGTGCTGCTAGTATATACCCTTTTTATTCTATTAACTGACATCTATTGCAGGCCTCAAGGAGCTCTGGTAGCATAGTGGTTGCGAATTGGGCTGCTAATCTCACGGTCAGCAGTTCGAAACCACCAGCTGTTCCGCAGGAGAAAGATGAGGCTTTCTGCTCCAGTAAAGATTTACAGCCTCGGAAACCCTGTACAGGGTCACTATGTGTCCACGGCACATAACAACAACACTGCAGGCCTCTGTGAATAGTACACTTTGTCATTCAGCAACTGAATGAATTCAGAGCAATGATTGGATAAATTCCTGGCTATTAAAGATACAGGGATTAGAAATCCCAGATTGGCCAAGTTTGAGTGCGGAATAGATTTGGAGTATTTTCAGATAAAGCTGTCAAAAACTCTTTTTATTCAAAACTATTTATTTGAATAACAACGTAACTTACTATGACTTAACATTAAAACCCAGAAACAGAACAGAATTGGTTAAGTTTTTGATGGTGGTGGTTAAGTGCCGTTGAGTCAGTTCCAACTCATAGCGACCCTGTACAGGGTTTCCAAGGAGCAGCTAATGAGTTTCAACCACTAACATTGCAGTTCACATGACCTTATGGTCCAGTGCTTATTCTACAGCGTCCTACCAGGACTCCATTTTTTTTGGTAAATACCCTGATATTCAGATATGTGAATTTTTGCAAGCAGTATTTTATCTGCTTCCGGGCACATGCCCGTACCTGTGCCTGCCGTGTTCAGTTTATGGTTGGTCAAGTGTGTGAATGTGAGCATGTGTCTCTCCAGGCCGTGACAGCAAGATAATTCCCCTGATCTTTAACTGATCCCCTCTCCCTACTTGTTCTGTCAGAGCCAGAGGAAGAAATCATCGCTGAGGACTACGATGATGATCCTGTGGACTATGAGGCCACCCGCTTGGAGGGCCTGCCACCAAGCTGGTACAAGGTGTTTGACCCTTCCTGGTAAGCCTGGGGACACATTGGAGGAATGGCGCATATGACTCCCAACTCTACCCTTCTTGTGCTATCACTAGCTTTGGGGTTTATGGAAGACATAGGAAGAGATTCGAAGGTACTGACTCGGGCAGGTATAGGCAGAGATGGGGAGACAGGAGTTGAAACAAAGAGAACCCCTGTACTGACACTCTTCCCCTCCCTTCTTCCTATTGGCCCACAGTGGGCTCCCTTACTACTGGAATGTGGACTCAGATCTTGTGTCCTGGCTTTCCCCACATGATCCCAACTCCATCGTTACCAAATCTGCCAAGAAGCTCAGAAGCAATAATGCAGGTAAGTTGGAAGATCCAAGGGTTCCTGGAGCAATTCTAGCAGTTCTCAGAGGGGGCTCAATTAAATTATAGTGGATCAAAGCGGGGCAGATAAGACCAGAGAGGCCCCACCCCAAGCAAGAGAGGTTGTTAGGAAAGCAAAGATTGCTGGTCCTGGGGTCCGAGAAAGGTTACTTCAAGGCTTTCATGTCTCCAGATGCTGAAGAGAAGTTGGACCGGGCCCATGAGAAGTCGGACCGGGGCCACGAGAAGCCAGACCGGGGCCATGACAAGTCAGACCGGGGCCACGATAAGTCAGACCGGGGCCATGACAAGTTGGACCGAGACCGAGAGCGTGGCTATGACAAGGTAGACAGAGAGAGAGAACGGGACAGAGATCGGGACCGGGATCGTGGGTATGATAAACCAGACCGAGAAGAGGCCAAAGAACGTCGTCACCATCGCCGGGAGGAGCTGGCTCCATACCCCAAGAGCAAGAAGGGTAAGCTGAGCAGGGTCAGAAATAGGGTGAAGCAAGCCAGCTGTCTAGGGAGCAGAATTGAAGGAGGCACTTATGCATGCATATTACGTGTCTGAAGCTGGGACCCAGAATACGCATGCACACTGGTTGACAGTGCTGCAGCCTTTGGCAGCCAAGTGCTCCATTTATTGCTGGCTGGTGGACTGGAGGTGGTGTTCAGTGGATTAAAGCTCTCAACAACCCCTTCCCCCTTTTTCCAAAGTGGCAAGCCGAAAGGACGAAGAGTTAGATCCCATGGACCCCAGCTCATACTCAGATGCGCCACGGTGAGTGACCCCTCATGAGCCCTTCTTTTTCATGACTCTCCTTACACCAGCGAACACCATCCCTTTCCCCTATTGCCTTAATCAGGGTGGTGGTGGAGCAACGAGACCCACCACATCCCACATTCCCACTCATGACCCTCTATCACCCCCAGGGGCACATGGTCAACAGGGCTTCCTAAGCGGAACGAGGCCAAGACAGGTGCAGACACAACAGCAGCTGGGCCCCTCTTCCAGCAGCGTCCATACCCGTCCCCGGGGGCTGTGCTCCGCGCCAATGCTGAAGCCTCCCGAACCAAGCAGCAGGACTGAACCTTCACCCTCGCAGCCCTGGTTCTGGGGTCTTTAATAAATGCTTTTCTTTGGATGGTGCCTGTGAGGCCTGAGTGCTTTCTTACCTTATTCTCTTGAGGCTTCCCAACTCAAGCCACCAAGATGCAAAACACATTTTATTTGTAAAACTCACCTAAGAAATAGCATGGGGGTGATGACAAGGACATGACGTTGGCAGGGCTGGAAGCTGAAGAGGGTCATGTCCATGCCCTCATACCCAGAGAAAAGTTAGTCATGCCAATGATGCCTGGGGGCACAGGGTGGTTGGGGACAGGGAGTTTGGTGTCTACCTCACCCCACCCCTAATACTGATCAGAGTTTGGACCCCACTGGGCCAGGGCAATAAGGGAGAACAAGGCCAGGCCACCGTCTTCAATCCCAGCAGCTACGAACCCTTCACCTTGGTGAGCAACCTGTGGTGGGAATGGAAGGAAAGAAAAACACAGAAAGCTGGGTGGACTGGCAGGTGGGTTTTTTGAGCAAGCGAAGGTCAACAGCAGTGGGGTTGGCACCCCTGGGTTAGTATTAATGCCGCCTCAGAATGCGGGTCCCGCAGATCAGAAAGCTGCACGTGGACTAAAATAAATACAACATCTTTATTTGGCATTGGGTATCCTGACATTTGTTCATTACAGTTCCTTAGAAAACAAATTGAAAAATCAGAACAAATTAATCAAAAATAAAGATCCAATGGTTCTATTTACATATAGCAAAAACAGCCCAGGCATCTCCCATGCACATACACACCCACATTCACACTGGGATACAGTTAAGGGGTTAATAAGCTTTGGGGAATGCAGGGGGTATGTTCCACATTTCATCAGTTCTAAGACACCCCCCCACCTCACATACATACATACACACAATAAGGGTATATCATACAGCCAGTGGGATATTAAGAGTGTGGTTGGCAGCTTTATTTTTCTTCTCCGGATGTCTCCGAAAATAACTGCATCCGGTAACTGACTGTCTTAGATTCAATGAGTTTCAGCCACTGGTTGCAAGGACCCTGTCCTACCTACCCCCTTCCTTCACCCTGGATCATTAATTATCTGATTACACTGTGAATAATTTTTAAAAATACTAAAAAAGAAACCATCCCTATTGCACCCTCTCCTAGAAAGGGCTGATGCAAAAATCTCAGCAGCCATGATCAATTGCTCTGGCCCTCTCTTCTCCCTAGGCAATCAATCACAAGCCCATTATCATTGGTCTCAGTATAATAGCAGCAGCCTCAAGGCCACACAGAGAAGACCAAGCTGCTAACATGATCCAGTATGGTTGCAAGGGAGGAGAGATGGGCTCAAACTATAGGAAATTAAGCCCCACACGTAGGCATTAGTGATTGCTAAGAGAGCAGGATTTCTGTCCAATTTGTCCTTTAAAAAGAGGAAGAATGGCTGGGAGGGATGCTCCCAGATATGAGCAAGGGCAACTCCAGCGGAGAGAGGCCGACAAAGGGGAAAAAAAAAAAAAAAAAGGCCATGACATTCCTAAGCCTGTCCCATTACACAAAAGGTTGGACTAGGCAGAGGAGACGGTTGTAAAACTCCCTCTGGGGGAGATGGGGTAAGCCTGCCAGGAAGGGTGATGTAATAATGCCTAGCCCCAGTCCCATGGCATGTGCCTTCTCCCTACCACTCAGTGACCTGGGAGAAAAGACCACCTTGCAGCCCCAGCAGAGACTTGAGTCCTGCAAATGTTCGTTGCCCTTCACCTCAGCCCCTCCCTATCTCCCCCCAACCACTGCCAGCCCTCACTTCACCAGCACTGACTTTGGCAGAAAGGGCTCCGTGATGAGGTCTCCACGGTGGGAAGACAGCTGCGGTGGTGGTGGCTGTCCCGGAGGTTGCTGGTGCATGCAGGGCCCGGAGGCAGAGGTGGAAGCTATGGCTTTGGCTGTACTTCGGGGAAGGCTGTAGAGGTAGACGGCACCGATGACAAGCCCGGCACCAAGGGCAAATAAAGGGTCCACGTGGAAACCAAAGAGACGAATGGAGGCAACAGTAGACAGTACTATGGATAGGGAGGTGGCAAAGCCCTTGAGGATGTTGTCGGCATATTTAACGACAACTGCCACCAGGAGCCCACCGAAGGCCTGGTTGAGCACTACACCCCAGACGGCAGGCGTGTACCCAAAAAAGAAACCCCGGCGGGCCACAGCAGTACCCTCAGCCCACCAGAGCCCCACCAGGCCCAGTGCTGTGCCGAAGAGGCCGAGCTGCAGGTTGCGCAGCCACACAGAGCCTGAGCTGCCTTTGAGTATCTTCTCAAAGTAGACACCTGCAAAGCCTGAGGAGAGACAGGAGGCCACCACAGCTGCCAGGCCTGCCCCGGGGTTCTGATCCAGTAGCCGTGGGCCCCCACTGCCAGCTTGCTGTGCTTGGACAATGGCGACACCAGTGAAGAGAAGCAGCAGAGAGGCCCACTGCAGCCGTGAAAGGCTGCGGTTCAGCATGAGCACAGAGAACAGTGCCGTAGTCAGGATCTTCAGCTGGTACGTCACCTGCGAGTGGCATAAGGAAGGCAAACAGGCCTGACCCTGACTCCAATGTGAACTCATGGGGGGCAGCACCTACTGAGGACCCCCAGGCACAATGGAGGGGCAGGGTGGGGTTGTTGTTAAGTGCCTTCGAGTCAGTTCCTACCCATAGTGACCCAGTATAGGGTTTCCGAGGAGTGACTGGTGGGGCAGACAGCAATACAAACAGCAAATACCCAACCACTGGCCAACAACTTGAGTTGTGGCTAAATCAGCTTTAAGTGACTCCCAGAAAGAACACAACAGGATGGCTATGCCAGGAAATCTCTGGTCACACCCTAGTCCACATTCCAACCCCACCCTTCCTAGCCCTATGACTAGGGTCTGAACATTTATCTTGTCTGAGCCCTGGCACCAGCATATGTAAAGTAGAACAAGTATACAAAGCACATCACAGTGTAGGTTATGAATAAACGGTAGGCTTTGTGAGAGAGGAGTCTTGATACATACTAACCATCTGCGCAGCTACAGAGTCAGAAAATATTTACACAGCATGTAACTATGTGTCAGGTGTGGGTCTCAGCATTTTATATAAAATACCCAAACCAAACCCACTGCCATGGAGAGCAGAACTGCTCCCTAGGGTTTCGGAAACTATCGATCTTTACAGGAGCAGCTGGTGGGTTTTAACCACCAACCTTGCAATTAGCAGCCCAATGCTTAGTTCAGAGCACCACCGCATTTAGTCCTCACAACCATGAGGTGGGCACTGTTATAACCCCCAATTTAAGGATGAGAAAACTAAGGTACAGAAAGGTTAGGTGACTTGCCCAATATCACACAGAAGGCAAAGTGGCAGAGCTGGGTTTGAACTCAAGCACCTGGTCCCAGAATCCAGGTTCTTCAAGCATTTCACAGAGTTGCCCACAAATAGCTTAAAGCTTATTGCCAACCAAGGGTTCTTCACAGATTTTTTTTTTTTTTTTAATTATCCTAGCATCCTAGTTATTAGGCATTCCCATTTCCCTTCTCAATTTTCAGACATTTCGAATTTGTGAAACAGCTCCTGCTCTCTGCAGCCCTCCCACCACATCTCATTTATTCCAAACGAGCCATGCTGGGCTTGGGGCTCACCTGGAAAGTGGCAGCTGGCAAGTTGGAAATAGCAACGTACTGGAGGTTATTCTGCAAGGTATAGATGAGAGAGGGCACTGCCAGCTTGAGTGTGTCCACATACTGCACCAGGACAGCCTCATGGAGGAAGAGAACCAGGTGCTTCAAGTTACCTGGGTGGAGGGTGGAGTAGGGACTAATTTAGCACCAACTACAAAGATGAGGGGAGTCCTCATCTTTGTAGTTGGTGTGGTGCTGGGGGCTAATGCGTCAGACTGCAAAGTCGTTTCAACTGCAAGGTCGGCGGATCAAGCTCACCAGCTGCTCCTTGGAAACCCTATACAGGGTCGTGATGGGACATAATCGACCCGATGGCACTCAACAACAAAGATGAGGGTGTTCTAAAGGCTGGAACCAGGCCTGGTTCCATGTCTCCCCTGTTATGACCATAGCCCCTGATAAGGTCTGTGCTGTTTTCCCTACGGCACAACCATATCCTCAGTAGGCCTTTCTAATATTCAGTTAATTAGACACAAAAGAATGATCCAGAACACCATGAGTGTCTTGATAATCATGAACCATATTTCACCCATCTTGAAAGCTACCTCCCTGTCATAGAGCCCCATTGACAGAAAGCCCCCAAAACGTTTGTATAATGAAATAATCATTATTCAGTAGGAGCTTATGAACTAAAAGCTCTAGAAGTGTGGGTGTAAGGCTGTTTAACACACAGAAGGGGAATTTTAGCTAGACTTATCCTAGCTCCTTACTGGCCTGTGAGTTGCTTGTGAACAGGGGACATGGTCCTATTGGTATCATCTTGCCATCAACTCTAGACACACCAAGAAGCTGCCCTCACCACATGGATGAAATGTAGACTTGAGAATTTAGTGGAAGAATCCAGTTGGAATTAGTGCATAAATGAGAAACATTTACTATCTAAGAACTTGCTCTGTGTTTTTGCCAATTCATCTTTTAAGTCTCAGCTGAGGGTCACTCCTGGGAAGATCTCCACAACCACCATGCAAGGTTATCTCAAGAACTCTTGCTGATGCTCATTCACAAAACCTAATGTCCTGTCCAAGGAGTAATTACTGGTCTAGAATACCTTACCCAGAACTTCTGAGCCCAGATGAGTTTTGGTATTCAAAATTTTCCAGCAGTTAGGAAGGTAGCAGGGTCTGGGGCTGTACACCATAACCAAGTATATTCATATTTCAGCAATGAATTCTATGAATATTCACACCAAATAGGGCAAATACAGAACACAAATATACAGAGAGTCCCATACTAGGTTAGGCTGTGTTTACCATCAAACTAATTCAGAAAAAAAGATTTGGGGGTTTGGCCTGTGGTTAAGTCTGTAGCTATTTTATTTTCTCCCCATCTAAAATATCAGCCCTATGAGGGCAAGATTTATGTCTGCATTACTAACATGTATACCGCCACAGCCAGTGGAGGACCTGACAGGTAATGTCCACTAGTAACTGACCCAATACAGAAAAGAGCAACTGAGTTTGTAACTTGCTGTTTCCCAAGGCCCTGGAGTTAATGAGTGAATAGGCATGTTTTCTTCAATGTAAACACCTAAGGCAGAGCTGGCTAATTCAAGGTCTTTAAAGAGAAACAACTGGGGAATACTTTCAAGCAGAAGCAGGTGTTCACGGAGGTGTTTAAATTAGTAGATAAACCCATCTCCCCAACTCCTAAATTTTAGGAAACATAGAAGACAGATGAACATATTAAATGATACCATAGGGAGGGAAGCAGCAAAATCCAGACTACAGGACAAATGATCGGATTTCCTCAAACAACTGCAAAGAGTGAAAAAAAGAAAAAAAGTTGGAGGGGAACCTAAAGAGACTCAACAAACACTCAACATCAACAAAACACTGTTCTGATTCAAGTTTTAAAAACCTATCATGATATTTAAAAAATAATTACATATTTGAACATGAACCAGCTATTTGATTATTTCGCGGTTAATATTATTATTTTGTGAGGTAGAACTTAGTTGTTATGGCTATTTTTTTTAATGTATTACTAAACTATTTATGGATAAATTACATGTGGGATTTACTTAAAAATAATAAAGGGTAGGCAGTAAGCAAACATACAATGGCAAAGAACACTGACGCTGAATAGCAGAGTGGTCCGCAGTGGACAACTGTTGAAACAGGGTGACGATTTTCTCTGATTTTGCATGCAATTTAAATTCTCCATAATAAAAAGGTGGCAGGGTGGTGGTGTGCTGAGGAGTTGGTTCTGACTCATAGTGACCCTGCATAGCGTTCCCGAGGCTGTAAATCTTTACAGGAACAGAAAGCCTCATCTTTCTCTCATGGAATGGCTGGTCGTTTTGAACTGCTGACCTTGAGGTTAGCAGCCTGACTCGTAACCACTATGCTACCAGAGCTCCTTGTTGTAATTAAGTGCCGTCGAGTAGATTGAGACCCACAGCGACCCTGTATAGGGTTTCCAAGGAGTGACTGGTGAGCTTGAACCACCGACCTTGCAGTTCAAACCTTCTTTGCAGTCCAGCACATTAACCCACGGCACCACACCAGGACTCCTTTAAGAGTACATAAGTCACCAGGTATATGTAACCTGTGGGCTTCTTAGGGGCACAAACTGTCTTGCTCCTACAACCCACACAGGCCAACTCCCAGGGCTTAAAAGTGAAGATACAGCTCCTTATAACTGAAGGGATGGGTAGAAAAGAAGCTTAGCTGCACTTACATACTCTCCAGGCATTTTTACAGACAAATACCCCTCTAACAGATCCTCCAGTGTGAACACTCTAATATGTGCAGAGTGCCATCTGTTGAGCCCAGTGGGGTACCCACCCCTCCCCTGGCTCATACCCCTCTTCTGTGCGAAGAGCAGCAGCAGGCAGGTAAGTCCCTTGAGCACTTCAGCCATGACCACCGCGGTGGTGGCAAAGAAGCGATCCCCAGGCAATGTGCGGGCATAGCGGATGCTAAGGATGAGGGAGGCATTCTGGACCACCAGCACAGCTAGAGACATGTACTTGAGGCGCCGATGAGCTGTGGGGAAGAGAAGGAACAAGAGAGTAGAGGATCAGAGCTGCTGAGGTGTAGCCAGCCACACAACCACCTGCTCCCTTCTCCTTGCTCAACCAGGATCCTCCTAGCCATTAATACTTCTTCCCTCTGCCCCACCCTGACCTAATGAGGACCTGACAACCCCCCCGCCCCACTACCACCACCTTTCACTGCCTCAGTCACAGGCAAGAGCCTGGAAGGGCCACGCCATACCCTGTCCAGCCCATACCTGAAATCCTTATTGAGGTATCCAGTTGCTGAGCAGGCCCCGGACATCCACCTCGACCCCTTCTCTCCCTCTCTTGAATGAGAAGCAACTCTCCCAGAATATCAACAACTACATTCTTGATGTTGTTGTTGTTAAGTGCCGTCGAGTCGGTTCCGACCCATAGCGACCCTGTACAGGGTTTCCGAGGGTGTAAATCCTTACGGGAGTAGAAAGCCTCATCTTTCTCCCGCGGAGCTGCTGGTAGTTTCGAACCGCTGACCTTAAGGTTCGCAGCCCGATTCGTAACCACTACGCTACCAGAGCTCCTTGATATTCACTGTTTATTTTATGTCTGTTACTGGGTTCAGGTGTCTATATGGATCACCTCAATGGGCCCTTATATCACTTCAAAGGACCTATGAGGATCCCCATTTCAAGGATGCGAAAAATGAAAGATTTATATGAAATGACACTTTATGTAATGATGGACTGTCCCATGTAAAGAATGATACTCCAGTACAAGGAGTTACGAATTGGGCTGCTAACTCAAGGTCAGCAGTTCGAAACTACCAGCTGCTCCGCGGGAGAAAGATGAACTTTCTGCTCCCATAAAAATTTATAGCCTCGGAAACCTTGCACCGACTCCATGGCACATAACAACAATAAAGTATGTATACCCCCTAAAGAATGGTCTTTCTTCAATCTAACAAATGATTCAATTCCCTCAAGCTCAGAATGATCTACACCCCATATGGAATCATTCTCCCCACACTTAGAATGCCTCTGCAACTCCTCCCTCCGTTGACAACGGATTCCTCCCAACCCAGAATAATCTGAAAAATATGTGCATCCCAAGGATTGAGCCCCCATATAATGGCTGGTTACCCTACTGAAAATGGTCTAGTTCCTCAATCATCTAAGGAAACATTTCCCTATAGTCCACATGGCCCAGTCGACTTTTCCCCACCTCCATTCAGCCCCAGTCTCGACAAGGAATTAGTCCTTGTTCTACCCACACCCACAAGGAAATCTCCCTTCTATAAGGAAGAACCTGGTGCCCTCATTACATTCTTTTTCTTCCACATAAGGAAGGACCCTCTCACCCCCAATATACAATGAACTCTGCCTCCATTAGGGATCCCCCCTAGAATGGTCTTCTTCCCTTATAATGAAGGACGTCCCTCTGTCAAAACAGACCCTCTACTCATATTAGGAAGGCCCCGCCCCACCCTAATTCACAGTCTCTTGCACTTTATAAGAAGCCACAACCTTTAGAATGGTCTTTCCATTCTTTAAGGGCGACCTCCCCCTACCCCCGACACACACACACACACACACACACACACACACACACA